GCTTTTTCTCTCATCATCCCAAACTGGCTACATGACTATAGATGAATCCTTTAGCCACTCAGCGTCTCTGCTTCTTCATCTACAAAATGGGAATGCTCAGGATTGCCTGGAGACTCAAGGACTCTGAAAAGTTAGTACCACAGCCTTTGCACTTGATGTGGGCACCGCTGTCTCCGTGGGCTTGCTATATGGCGCCTGCCTCCCCCAGGTCAGTCACTGCTGGCTTGGTCCACCCCTCATCACAGCAAGCTTGTCCATCATGGGTTTATCTGTCCATCTGCACCAGGCCAGACAGGCAGACATGACATAAGAACATAGCCACAAGACTCAGCACCTTACTAGTGCCTGTGCATGTAAAATGCTCAAGAAACACATATTGATGCTTACTCTTTCAGGACTCAGGTATTTGCGAACGCACCACTTTCTGAACACCTTTGATGCCCTCTGAAAGTCAGGTCACCCTCTGAGATGAAACTGCCCTGCCCAAGATGCTCAGGATTCACAGAATCTCATTTGATGGTTCCCAGAGAACCCAGTGTCTGTAGAGTGGGTACCTTGTAAATGCCAGTTGAATAAATCCATTCATTTTGAGAACTAGCAACAATATAGGCAAAACCGTAAAGCCTCGAAGGGGCAACATTAATTTAGAACATCATCTGTGTGCCTTTTTGTATATAAACATATCTGCAAATGTCACTGGCCATGGTGTTATATGGCTGTTATCCCAGCATTCTGAGAGGCTGAGGCAAAAAGAACGCAAGTTTGAGCCTAGCTTGGGCAACTCGATGAGACCCTGTCTCAAAATAAAGAAGGGTTGGGGGGATGGCTCAGTGTGGATGTCCTGGGTTCAGTCCCCGGTACCACTGCCACAATACACACAAAAATCTCAAATGTGCCTTGATGACTCTGACATTTTTAAGGTATGAGGGGATTAGAGATGCTTTGACCCCAGGTCCCTTAAGGATTTTCCTCTGATATTCAGGAGGGCAGCTGGCAGAGAAGACCTCCCTTCAGCACCCCCAGCACCCTACACATGGTCCAGGATGTCCTATGGGAAGGAGGCAGATGCTGGTGTGTAAGGATACCTGGGCATGTCCAGGACTGAGAGTGATGGAGAGGTCCCTCTGGATACCAGGGCCCAAAGGCAAGAACTTTAAAGTGGAGGGGGGGGTCGTTCCTCTGCCTCCTTCAGTCCCCTTTCCTTGCCCACCCCAGGATCTGTGGGGTTCTAGAATCATCCTTGCCTCCCTGATCTGAGCTCCACCTGCAGACAAATCTGTCCCTTCCCTACATCCTAGCCCCAGATTTCTACAGCTTAAAAGCTTAGGCGTGACCTCAGAAGCCATGTGTGTGCCCTGCTGTTCCTTCCCTCCCCCCTAGGAGGGATTTGGGCAGCAGAGATGTGAGTATCACACCCTTGAGCACAGCCTAGGGCTCCTGATCTCAGCAAGCAGTGGGAGGACATGCAGTGACACTGCTCCCGCCTGTGGCCTGGGTAACCTATTGCTCTCTCTTATTCTCTGTGTCTTGATTTCCTTTCTCTTCAAAGCCGCTTTTGTTTTCTCTCCTGCTTTCACACACCATGTCCTCCAGAGCCGTGGGGACAAGATGGGCCTACAAATTGACAGTTCTCTGACTTATCTCACTTAATCCTTACAACACCAGGGTCTGCTGTGATCCCCACTCCGAGGCGAGGGAACATCCCTGAGCTGTTAGCAACATGCCAAGGTCACAGAGGTCAAAGGGGCAGAGGCGCCTCCTGAAACCTCAGTCCGTCTGCTTCCGTGCTGGACATGTGACCTGTCTGCACTTAAAGTTGCTGTTGGTGGTGGCAAGGGTGGAGGGCTAGGATCCCCCCACAAACCTTGCCACTTTTTGGAGGATCTTCTCTTAAAGAGGTGGGTGGACTGGTCCCTGTACCAACAACTGGGAAGGCCAAGTGGCCCTCTCCCTGCTGCAGCTTTTGATGCTTGTGCCAGGATGTGCCACCCACAATGAGAATGCCTGTCATCACAGAGCATTTTTGCAGCTATTGATTGCCACTGCAGAGGCTGACAACCAGAGAGGTGAAGTGAGTCAGCCAGACAGGTTCACGGGTAGTTGAGCCAGGACTCCAGTCCACAGCCCAAAGTGATTTTTGGTCCCGGCTTGTATGGCTGGTGCCCCAAGCTGCTCGGTTCCCTCTCTGAGCCTTGCCCAAAAGCAGAGACACGTATGGCTACAGCTCCTGCCTCGTGGGTTTGGAATGTGCTAGGAATATGGGTGAACACCAAGAGTTGGGGTTCATAAGCAGCCAGGAGCCCTGCAGGTCACCTGCAGTCTTTTCTGGTAAAATCAACACCATGGATGGTGTTTGTTATCCTCCGTAGTCTCCTGGCATGCACTCCGAGGTACAGAACAAGGCAGCAGGGCTGACAAAGCAGTCCATTCCTGCTAAGGACACAGCCATTTCTAACCCACACACTTGGCCTGCTGAAGGCCAGATGATACATCTTCAGCAGCAGAGAGGCAGTGTGATTGATTCTTATTCTAAAGAATTCACAGGATTGGCTAAATCACCAGCTCTCACAACCCTGGTTTGAAGATCAGGAAATGTCTCGAATTCTCACGGCAGAAAGGTCTATTGGTCTGGGCCGAAACATCCCAGACACAGTTCCATTTCTCCTGGAAACAAGATCCTGGCAACAGGGATGCCAGGTGGCTCCTTGTATAATTCCCTGCCTATGTGCAGACAAACCTTGAAGCAAAGCATGCCCTTGAACTGGCAGCAGAAATTCTGTTAAAGAAGTTTGATTTTAAAAAGATAGGTGAAAAAATCTATTTTTCATTAAATGCTTTCTTGTTTGTGGTTTTTTGAGACAGAGTCTTGCGATATAGTCCAGGCTGGCCTTGAGCTCATTATGTAGTCTAGGCCGGCCTGTGACAATCATCCTGCCTCAGCCTCCTGAGTGCTGAGATTACAGGCATGTGCCACCACACCTGGCCTGCTGAAGTACATGATTTCAAAGTGGGAACCTTTTCTGGGTGCCTGGGGAGCTGCTACTTTGTTTCTTCTTGCAAAACTCTGATGTTAAAGAAAGATATTCCATAGAACAGGGACATCACCATTTTCAGAGCTTAGCATCAAGTTCTGTTTACAGAGAAGGGATTTCTGTGCTGGACATTTATTTAACAGGGTTTTATCAAATTCCCACTATAAACCTGGTGACATTCCAGGGATAAGACATTTGGCATCTGTAAGAGTGTTCTAATAGGATCAGATGATCTAGATTGCTACTTTTGTTAGTATTTTACCATTGTTTATTCAATTGATTAAGGTTTATTGAGTACTTACTGTGTGCCAGGCCTGGTTTGGGCACTGAGGATTCAATGGTGAACCGAGCAGCATGAATCCCTGCCTTCCAGAAGCTTCCAGTCTCTCTGGTATGATGCAGACCAGTGGGGGTCTGGGAATGACTTACTGGGACCCGTAGAAATGGCATTCATTCTTGGAAGTGCTTCTCCATCCGTCATCTCAGCAGGTAGGGTAGGTGAGGAAGATTCAGTCCTCCATTACCCAGGAGCATTCTGAGGCAGACAAGTTGCTCAGAGATGCTAGGAGCTGGAGAGATAGTACCCAAACCCTACGTGTTTGATTTGGATTGTTTCCACGTTTTGGCTACTGTGAGTAACGCAGCTGTGAGCAGTTGTCTTGGTTACTTTTCTCTCATTGCTGGGACAAAATACCTGACGCCCAAAATGAAAGAAGGAAAGGTTTATTTCGCTTATAGTTTGTGGAGGTTTCAGTCCAGACTTGGCAGATTACAACCAGAGTGGCACATGGCACAGAGCTACAGCTCAGGGTGGTAGAACACAGCAAAAGCAGCAACCACGCACCAGGGTGGAATCGGGGAGGAATGGCCTCAAGCACCCTTTTCCTCTCTCTTACATATGCAAACTATCCACCCCAGGGCGGGTGCAGCTCTCACACCCCTAATCAATCAAACTTTAAAAGCCTGCCCCATGGACGCTTGAGGCTTTGGGGGGACACACAGATTCAAACTGTAACAGCAGTTGTGCACCGATTTTGTGTGGACATGTGTTTTCACCTACCGAGGATAATGTTTGGAAGTGGAATTGCTGGGTCTTGTGGTAACTCTGTTACTTACTGATGCACCCCCAAACTGTCCCGTTTCACATTCCCACCACCAGTAGATGAGGATTTCATTGTCTCCACATCTTTGTCGACACTTGTTATTGTCTGTCTTTTGGGTTGTAGCCATCTTAGTGGGTGTGAAAAGTTTTACAGTAAGTCCCCAACTTACAGATGTTTGAGTTTCAAATTTTCATGGGTGTATAAGTTTCACATTGTTGTGTTACAAACAAATCCAATTTACACATATTCTCCTGGAACGGAACTCATTCGTAAGTCTTGGACATATTGTATACTATTTTCAAAGTACAAAGCTGATCTAACACCTGATCAACTCGAAGGTACTAGACTATCTGTATACAATCCAGTAAGTCCCCAATTTACAACCATTCGAGTTGCGAATTTTCAAATACTAATGGACTTCAAATTATGAACATTTGTAGGTGCAAATAAATCGCAGAAGTAGCTCATGTGTCTGCTGGACCTTGTCACAGTTGTACTGGTGTATGCTTACTGTGCTTAAAAGTAAAAAGAGTTTATTGACAGATTTGTGCATGTTTTTGTTTTTTCTATGCATATATTGTATATTTGTATCAAAGATGTATAAGACCCACTTTGTCACTTATGAATGAATCTGACTTACGAACATTCTCCCGGAACAGAGCTCATTCATAAGTCAGGGACTTACTCTAACCAGCAACTTTTTCCTGAGAGCACCCATCTACCCTGACTGAGAAACAGCTGACCCTCTTGTTGCTCAGTCGAGGCTGATGGGCTCTGTCGTTCCTCAGTGGTATCCCAGAGCTCAAGTGAAGTTTGTCCCAGGACCTTGACGCCTAACACTCTGCCACCTCTTCTTGTCTTCCAGCGATTCACGAGTTCCCCACGGACCTGTTCTCCAATAAGGAGCGGCAGCACGGAGCTGTCCTGCTGCATATCCTCGGTGTAAGTGTTCCCTGGGGGTGTGACATCATTAAACTTCGTGTTGTGAATACTGTCTGCGTGATGTGGCAGAGCCATGACATGTCTGAGATTTGTTTAGTCTTTGTAACAGCTCTAGGAGGAGAACAGATACTGAGTGATCTACTTGGTCCATGATGTTCTAAGTATATTAGGTGACTTGTCCACGGTCACACAGCTAGTGGTCTGAGAACCCACACAGAATGGGGTTCTTTCCCATGCCTCATTTTCTGCTTTTATTAAATAGGGATGTTCCCAGTGTGTAAACAGGAGTGGGTATGCATCAAGTGTATTAGACACCATTCATATGGCATGTGAGTCCTGCATACATACTGACCACCATGATTCCCACAACAACCCCTGAATGGTGCCACTTCAGTGTAACTGTAGTTAGAATCTTTGGTGCCCTTCTAAATCTTCCTTCCATAGTCAGATAGACCCTGAACACATGTGGTAGAGTTCAAGTAGCTCTTCAAATAAAGGTATTCTAGCTGAACCTCAATTATAGGTCTCCTGTCTGTGTCAGGGTAGACAAACTCTAGCTCAGATCTTCCACCCTGCCTGTTTTTATAAATAAAGTTTTATTGGAACACAACCCCTCCCAGTCATGGCTGTGCTAGCCATGGTGGCTTTTGAGCTTCAGTGGCAGGGCAGAACATTTTTATCAGAGACTCCATAATGCACAAAGCCAAAGGTATTTACTTTCCGTCCTTTGTGGGAACTATCACTGGACTCTACTGAACGGTGTGAGGAAACATCTGACCCAGACTGATTTTTCTACTTTGGATCAACCACAGCACGCTTGCCAACCACCTAGCGCTCTCTGCTTATATATTTAAACCCAACCAAGTATTAGTGTTTTTAAAGAGATAATTAAGAAAATGGAATCTGGAATTCTCACACAGAGAGCAACAATCAGAGAATAATGGATGTGTGAATTTTTAACTAACAGAACAGACCATCAGTTAAAATGAGCGGTTAGAATGAGGGTTGCAGGTATACTTTAAACAACAGGCCTGTTGTTTTCTTTAATGAAGTTATCATGTTCCCACAGTCTCTGGCTTTGCACTCCTTCCCTTTTCACTAAGGGAAGTCTGACTCATCGGTCGCATAGTCCTTTGGCTCTGACTCCTGAAAGTCTTGGTATGACTGTGACAAAATTCTTGTCAACTATCTCAGTGATTTTACAGAAACCCTTTAGAGCAGGGGTTACCAGATATGGCTAGAGGGCCAAATCCAGCTTACTTCCTGGATTTATCAATAAAGTTTTATTAAAGCACAGCCACACCCATACTAGGGATCCTCAGATCCACATGAGCAAAGTAGTTGCAACAAAGACTGTTTTGCCCACAAAGTCTTCCGTTCTGGCCCTTCATAGAGAAAGTTTCCCTCTTTAGCTGGTGGGACGACTGCAGCATAGCAGCCATTTTGTCTGCAGGACTGAGAAGTTTTTTATACTTTGCCTGGGAATTGGTGTTGTGGGTGTGAATCCAAGTCAGCCTCCTGAGACCTGGGGAAAGTTCTGTCGCAGTCACTCACCCTCCTTACTCTCATCCTCGCTGTTTGTTTTGTTTTTGCTCCAGCCCAAAAGATAATGAGTCAAATCCAGGGACAGCCATGCTCGGACCCTAGGAGAGGCCTGCCTCAGGTGCCTTGGCCATAGTTAGTGCATCTTCTATTTCACTCCATCTCAGTTCATCATTCGTGAAATTGTTTAGTATCAGTGTTTTGGCCTGGCCTTTGTTTTTGCCAACAGGCCATGGATGCCCTTGTTCAGAGTAAAACCCGTCTCCTAGTCTTTGCCCCTCCCCCAGTCTCACATTCTCCATTCTCCACCTCGCTACTCTCTTCCATCTGTACCCGTGATCCTGTTGCTCCTCAGAGGCATCAGGCACACACACTTGCCTCAGGGTCTTTGCACTTGCTGTCTCTGGACTGTTATAGATTCATCATTTTCTGGTTTGTGTTTGTCCCTCACTAAGGTAAGTCACAAGAGACAGAGGCTTTTCCTGGCATCCTCAGCACTGTCACCCTGCTGCCTACAATAGGCGCTGTCACTTTATGCCTGGCACAAAAGAAGAGCTCACTAGAGCTGGGCTGGGTATCTGGAGAGATGGACAGGACAGGCAGAGCTTGCAGCTAGAAAGCCCTCCAAGGGCTGCAGGAGCTGTGTGCCAGGGACCTGAAGCAGAGACCAAAGTTACATTTCTTACTCGGTCTCAGCACCACAGAGGGAGATTCACAAGCTCATGCGGCCTGCGTTGTAACCCCCACTGCTGCTCAGCGCGCTACTTCTCCCCTCTGGGCCTCAGCTTCCCCATCTGGCAGTGCAGAGATATCGAGCAGATCTCTGTGGTGGAGGCTTCCCTGTCCCCTGGCGTCTGTCCAGGCGGCGTGGCTTGGGTGACATGTCCCCTCGGCATGTGACAGGGCCCACACTGACCCCCATCTGTGTCCGTTCCTTCGCAGGCTCTCTACATGTTCTACGCCTTGGCCATAGTGTGTGACGACTTCTTTGTTCCATCGCTAGAGAAGATCTGTGAGGTAGGTGGAAGGGACTTGGGAGCCCTTGGTGAAGCCCTGGAATGGTAAAGCACAGGTGGCATGTAAATGACAGGGCCAGAAAGCCGGGGCTGGGGTGGGGAGCAATGAGGTGGTGAAGACCGTCACAGCAAGACCCTGATGTTGGCCCCGAGGGGCTCTGAAGCCACTTAGCAGTGAAGGATAGTCCCTTCTCCCAGAGCCTGGAAGAGGAAGCCACTGCCAGTACGACGTCACCACCCGGAATGCTGGTATCAGCACACCCTGTGTGCCAGCCCTGCCCGGCAGGGAAGCCCAGGCAGGCCTGCACCCATGTTGGCACATTTCCCATAACCTGCAGGGGGCAGGAGGCAGGGGCCAGGGGGCAAGGGGCAGGCTACAGGTGGGGCCCTGCTTCTCCTGTTCCCCTGGCGTGTGCCCCAGGAGGATGCTGAGCAGCGGGTTTCCCTCCTCAACCTTTGCACGCTACTGCATTCTCCCTCTAATTATTTTGTTATTTTTTAGCTTTTTTTTTCTTATTTCTCCCCATGTGCAAGACCCCAGTCGGCCTCCTCCCTCTGCTTTAGTCTTGGCTTCTGGTCAGGGAAGGAAACCATCCTTTGTTGGTGGCACCTGCACCAGCAGCACTCGAGGCCCTGTCACCCTTCACCCCACGACACCTCCCAGCTGTCTGAGAGCATGCGGTGTAGTGCCACTTGAGCTGGGAGCACGGGTTGCTAGGGGCAGGTGCTTCCTCAGGACTTTACTCACTGCTGGCGCAGCCTGGGGAGCTCAGTGTCACTGCAGAGTTGAGAGTGATCGCTTTGGACCTGGGTCCTCATAATGGTGACCCAGCAGAAGCCCACAGAGGCCTCTCCCTCCCTCGACTTCCCATCGCTTCCCCCACCCTCAGATGGAGCCACCGGATGCTAGTGCAAGGGGCCACCTGCGGACCCTGTGGACTGGGCCGTGGGCTGCTGCTGAAGCTGCCCCCAGAGGGGACCCTCAGGGACATGCAGTCAGCTAAGTCTTACCAAATCCACACCCTGGCCTCCTGTAGGCTGAGAGCCTCAGGGAGCCACAGCAAGGGTTGGGCCCCCGCTGCTTTGGGATTGCAAGAACCCCAGGGGAAGGAGGTGACTGAGGCAGAGCACTGCACAGAGGGGAGGTGCCAGCACCCCCTGGGGTTGCCTGCATCCCTGAGGATAGAGAGGTGAGCAAGCGTGGTGGTCTTGGCTCCCTTATAAACCAAGAGAATTAGTGAAACATCAGAGGACAAGAAGCCCAAGGGAAAGAGGGGGCATCAGTGTTGGGGAGAAGCCCTGGAAGGCTTCAAGGAGGAGGTGGCATTAGGTCCAGACTTTGGAAGCAGGAGAGTTTCAGCAAGCAGGGAGGAAAAGAAGGGTCTTCTCGGAGGAAGGAACAGGCCAGGCCAAGGCCAGGATGAAGGAAGACAGGAGGTAGAGCAGCTGGCATTCTGCGGAAAGCTGTTGGAGGTGCCTTGGCGACAGAGGCTGTTTTAAGGGACCCTCCTCTTTGGTGGGGGCTCAGGTGTTTGCGCTTCCGCCTTGGGGACCGGTGCTGGGCCCCCAGCCTGTGTGAAGCCCAAAGCTCTGACTCAGGCCCCTTCTGCAGCTAGCTGCTCAGGGAAGAGGGTGTGCTGGTCCAGGGCTTCCCTGGTGGCTCCAGAGCCTGGGACTGCCCTAGGGCACTTGGGGAGGAGCCGTGCGAGCCCCCAAGCCACTATTCTAAATCAGAGCATGGGCCTCAGGAGCCAAATGTGGCCTCACAGAACACATGGGCGTGGCCAAAGAGTCCCCAGCCTTGTCTGTGCCGGTTCAATCCTGGGGACAGGAGCTCTGGGTCTCTGTGAGCAGCTGGGTGCCAAGCTTGCCATGGCAAAGGCATCCAGGACACAAGAGCCAGGTGTGTGCCAGGACCCCGGGTCCCACAACCCTGGTCTTCTCATCTGGGGCCCTGGGAACAGGTGCTAGGCTGGTGGACTCTCGCTGAGCTAGGTCCAGCAGGGAAGCAAGTGCGTGCACCACATGCCCTCATCTTCTAATCTGTGCTTGAATAAGGGAGGATGAAACAGGCCAAGGAAGGAGCAGCTGGCACTAGGGGGCGGAGGAAAGGCCTCATCAAGGGGCTGTTACTGAGTCAGGAGCTGGGAGGGTGAACCGGAAGTGGAGGGCGCAGGAAGACAGAGGCATCTCAGTTTAAGGCCCAGGGGTGAGCGGCTTGTGCTCAGGGTCAAGGAGGAGAGGTTGCCCCTCCACACACACCTGGGCTCTGTTCCACTGTGGCTTCCTGCATCCCAGCTGCCCAACCACCTGGGTGTCCTGTCCACTGCCTCGTGTCACACTCTCAGAGCTCCGGGGTCCCTTCTGTTTCAGAGACTTCATCTCAGTGAAGATGTGGCTGGAGCCACGTTCATGGCTGCGGGAAGCTCGACCCCAGAGCTGTTTGCCTCCGTCATCGGTAAGACACAGGCTTCGGGGAGAGCCCGGGTTCAGGGTCCAGAACAGCAGGGACATTTGTTAGCTCACAGCCCCGGGGTTCTTGTCTGTAAATCTGGAGAGCCAAAGGGACAGAGAGTAGATGGGTGGTTTCTCAGGGTGGAGGTGCTAATGGGTGTGAGATTTCCTTCGGGGATGATGAGGATGTTCTAAAATTAGATCCTGATGTTAATGGCACAGTTCTGTAAACAGACTAAGCTATTGGACTGCAGTCCTAAAGTGGGTGAATTTTATGTCATGTGAGTTACATCTTCATAAAGGTGTTCAAAAACTGGGACCATTGGAGGAGCTGCTTCCGGAAGGTCCCTGCACCTGGCTGGTGTTGTGCCTCATACTCCTGGTTCTGTGTTTGGTGCTACAAAGGACCTACTTCCTTCAGTGTGGACAAACTGAGCCATGGGCAAGCCAGGCCATGCAGCCAGGAGTCTAGGATTTCTGTCTCTGCCTTCCTTCTTCTTTCTCTCTCGCTCTCTTTATGGCTGTACTGGGGATTGAACCCAGAGCCTCTGCACTGAGCCACATGCCCAGCCCTTTTTCTATGTGGTTTTTTTTTTTTCTATCTTGAAACAGGATCTTGCTAAGTTGCCAAGTTGCCCAGGCTGGGCTAGCATTTGTAATCCTCCTGCCTCAGCCTCCCAGAGTGCTCTGATTACAGGTGTGTGCCACCACGCCAGCTTCCTGTCTCTCCCCTTTAGGTGTCTTCATCACCCATGGAGACGTCGGGGTGGGAACCATCGTGGGCTCCGCAGTGTTCAACATCCTGTGTATCATCGGAGTGTGTGGGCTGTTCGCTGGCCAGGTCGGTGGGTGACCTCGCAGCCTGGAGGGGCAGTGCTTACACTGTGTGAGATAAGCTTCTCTGGAAAGGTGGCAGTGGGGCCACCCAGCTGAGGCCAGGCCGGTCCCTCCATTGCTTCCCTCTCTGACCTGGTTGGTCCTGGGGGAAGTGACATCAATGTTCCCTCCCCGCCAAAGTCTGGAGGCCTGAGGGGCACGAGCAGTATCAATGACTTTGGCCAGTCCCCAAGCTTGCTGGTGGTGACCACACACAAGTGCCACCTGTAACCTTGTCCCCTAGCAAGACCAGCTTTGGCCTCCCGCAGGCTTGTTGGTGGTGCGTCAGGGTCCAGGGGAGGCACGAGGCTCGCGGGCAGTTCCCTGCCTCACCCATGGGTGGCTGATTGCTCTGAAAGGAACCAGTGGCACCTCTGATCTCCTCCTCAGCTAGCTTCTGCCAAAAAACCTGCTCAGTCATCACCTCGGAGGACTAAGGCAGCTTTACTACTGCTTCAGAACATTATTTACTTCCATCCTCTTCCACAAATATCATGAGGGTCCCCAGGTGGCCTGGGAGGACCCCGGAGGGCTTGTTCTTGCCCTGGCAGGGGTCTGGGTGGTGACTGCACACTTCCAGCTGCCAGCCCAATAGCAGCTGCCGCCTCTGCTCGGCAGGTGGTCCGTCTGACGTGGTGGGCTGTGTGCCGAGACTCCGTGTACTACACACTCTCCGTCATCGTGCTCATTGCGGTGAGTTACCCCTCTGGTCCCTGGTGTCGGGTTGCCCAGCAGCCTGCAAAGGCACCAGACCCCAGCATGTCTCTGTTCCTAGCCCTGTCACAGCACTCAACAGTGGAGGGTGCTGGCTCTGCCCTGTGGTCACAGCGGCCGGCCCCACAGACTCCTCTCCCTCCACTTCGCGTCCCTTTCCCAAAAACTCATGCCTGACCTCTTGGTTATCAACCAATTCAAGAACCAGCTTCCTGCCACAAAGGCCTTGGAAAGGACAAACCGTGTGCCACATGGTCCTTGTGGTGACCTCCAGGACTGCGCTCCTCTGAGTCCCTTCTGATCCCCTTGTAGGCCGTTTGCTTTTCTGCCAGACCTAGATCGCAGAAGAGCTCTCTGGGTTCACTGCCACCAAACAGCAAGAGTGGGAAGACAGTTTGCAGTCAGCAGAGAGGGCAGCTGGAAGCCAGGCAGGAGCCAGAAAGGGAAAACAGGCCGAGGAACCCAAGCAAGGGTGCCTGGAGTCCTTTAGTGTCAGGGGGATGGAGGGGGTGACATCGTGGAATATGACAGTGAAACACACTGCCAAGGAGCACATCATCCACAGGGGAGTATTTTTGACCCAAAAGAGCTTTTTTGACATGAGGGTGTATGTAAACTTTAAGGTAAGGAATATAACAGTTCTCAACCTCACCAGACACACAGCCAATTTATATGACAGTCAGGCCCATGTATTTGTTAGCTACTGCTGTGTAGTGAATTTCCCCAAAACTTGGCAGTTTAAGACCAGCAACACTGGGGCAAAAATCTGGGAGTGCTTCAGTGGGGTCCTCCAGGTCAGGGTCCCTCACATGGTGCAGCTGAGGTGTCAACCTGGATAGAAGGATCTCAGGGCCCCAAATGGCTACTGGCTGGCCTCAGGCCATGCGCATGGTCCCATAGTGCAGCTCACAGGTGGCTGTACCTTGGATTGAGAGTGAAAAGGCCCCAAGGTGGAAGCCACAGTCTTTTTATACCCTCATCTCACAAGTGAGCCCTCTGTCGCCTTTGCACCGTTCTCTTTGTTAGAGGAAGTCACTGGGTGTGGCCCACATTAAAGGAGACATGAATGTCAGGCAGTGAGGTCAATCAACCATCTTAGAGCTGCCTGCCACACCCCCAAAATTAAAATGATAGGTTAAAATAGTCTACCTAAAGACAACTTCAAAAAAAATCAGTGTAGTACCCTAACTGTTCCATAGGAAAGAAATAATTTATAGTAAAATAATCCCTCTTTTAGTATACAAATGTTTCAGCATAAACATAGTAGAAGATCCGATGAAGTGATTGCTGCCCTACACAACCTCTGAGCTCTTCACCTACAAATGCAGACTGATGTCCATTGGGTTGGGCTTAATCCCCAGGTGGTGCTGACACCATGACATGTTCCCAAAATAATGAATGACTCCTGCTAAAATGCTGAGCAGACCAAAATGCATTCATCCTTTACTTTATATCACAGTAACCTTACTAGCAAATTCACTATTTTCTAAAACTCTGTAAAAATACTTCAATTTGTAAATTGGAGTCAAGTTCAAGGTTCAGGTCATTGTTTTTCAGTTGCCTGAATATGTATGAGGACATTTAAGACCTATGTCAAATGTAGGGAAAATTCATACTGGAGAACTGTCTCACATGCCTCACACTGCTTCACATCTCTGTTCTTCACTCCCTCTAACCTCCAGTGGCCCTCCTTTGGGTAAAAGAGCTAAAGCTATCCCTGTAAATGTCCCCCACCTTCTATAGAGATAGTCAAATCATCTGTTCTGTTGAGTGTTGCTTCCTCAGAGCCTTGAGTTCAGAAGGCTCGTGAAGATGCTCGACTTGGTGACTTTCTCAGAAATGACTTCCTGAACCAGCTCCTGTGTGTGCTGTCCACTATGATGGTCAGGAGAGGAACCCAGTGGGCCCAAGTCCAGGAAATGTTCCCTGCCTATCCTGGCACCATATGTTGGGATTCTTGTGTGTCCAAGATCAGATTGATGGGAACAGACTTGCCGCAACCTTCCTGTCCATACTGGTGATGAATGGGGTAGTCAAAGGAGTCCTGCTCCAACTGGACAAAAGAGCATTTGTCTGTGCTTTGTGCCAAGGCTACCTGGTAGGAGTTGTTGAGTGTATTAATTAGTAGCTTCTCCAGAGAAACAAAACCAATAAGCAATGGATGGATGGATGGATAGATGGATGGATGGATGGATGGATGGATGGATGGATGGATGGATGGATGGGTTGGTGGATGGATGGGTTGGTGGATGGATGGATGGATGCATGCATGGATGGATGCATGGATGGATGGGTGGTCAGTGAGAGGATATTTGTTTGGTATTGACTCTGGTGATTTTAGGGTGAAAAGTTCCATGATGCCCTCTGCATGCTAGAGATCTGGGAAAATCTGTAGCATAGTTTACGCCAAAGGCATGAGAACACAGGGGTCTACAGGTACAAATCCTGGAGTCCAAATCCCAAGGCCCCTAGAATTCTGAAGGTTGAAGGCAGGAGCAGAAAGGTTCTCTAGCTCCTAAACAGAGAGAAAAAGACACACAGAGAGAGAGAGGAGACAGAGGGCAAAACCACAAGTACAGACTCACTTTTCTTCTGCATTTTTTATCTTTCCAGCCCCTCAGCTGATTAGATGGTTGAGTGAGGGCAAGTCTTCCTTACTCAGTCCAACCCAAATGCCAGTCTCTTCCAGGAACATCTTCACAGACATGCCCAGAAATAATACCGTACCAACCATCCAGGTGTCCCTTAAGCTAGGCAAGTTGACACCTACATTCAACGTTCACAATGAGCAATGCCACTGTCCTCACTATCACTCCCCTTCAGTTATACAAGCTGGATCTTCCTCTTTGGAATTCCCAAAGCAGTTCCCCCCCTTACACACGTACACACACCCCATATGTATTGAAATAGATACCCAGATACCTTTTCAGCCTTCGAGATTCCTTGATTTCAGCAACTCTATTCCCCCTAAGGAGGAGAGACTCCTTCCTAATTAGCCCCCAAGCGGCTCAGACAGTAACAAAGCCCAGGCCACTTCTGTTGGGAAGACCCCATGAGGCCAGAGCCCCACAAATCTCAGCACACAGCTGGCCTGGCTGCCAGCTAAGGATGGTCACTGAGAAATGGAAGGAGGGCCCTGCTTCCTGTGAAACGCAGCCCAAGGCCACTGTGAATTGGCTCTGGTGCTTAGGGGTCTGCATTGTCCTTTGTTTGGAATAAATGGGTCTCCCTTTGTTTCTTTTGTCTTCCAGTTTATCTATGATGAAGAAATTGTGTGGTGAGTTTTTCAGTTTACTTCGCGTTGCTTTTTTGGTGGGGAGGGGTGGTTTCCAGCATCCTCATTTGTAGTTTGCAGAATCTTTTTTAGAATCATTTTTCTAAACGTAAGCTTGTAACTTGAGCAAGGGTATCATCCTAAAAATCTTGGCTTTATCCCTTCAAAATGACAAAAACTGTTTCCCTCTGCATTCCCGCCTTGCCAAATCCCAGGATTTATTATAGAGCTAAAACACTGATGACAGCAGCAACAACACTGTGATATTTTGCACAAGGAGAATCCAGTCACATGCCTATTTTGGGTTGGGGCTGTGACAGAGGTCAGGACAAGGCAGTGAGTGGGGGTCGTAGGCAGCAGAGACCACTGGTGGTCCAGGCTAAACAGCATCCCACACCAGAGCTCCCCCTCATGCTTTGGATGAGAAGCAATTTCAGGTGAAGTAAGGGTCTATCAACATCAAAATTTTAATTTTTTTGTGTGTGTGGTTCAGGGTCCTGGACCCAGGGTCTTTGCCCTAAGCTACAAATCCAGCCTTTTTATTTTCAGACAGGGTCTCACTAAGTTGCCCAGGCTGGGCTCAAATTTATGATCCATCTGCCTCAGCCTCCCAGAGTGCTGGGGTTATAGACATGTGCCACCACACCCGGTGTTAAAAACGAACTTTTACGAGAAAATATACAGACTCTTTGGCCAGTCCTTTAAAATTATGATACACAGTGCACTAACTGTGGTTATCATGTAATTATTCTACTACAAAATTTTATTTTTCACAGAAGAGTGCTTTTTAATATTTTCTTTAATATTTACTCATATTACAGTAAAATTTTAAAATTTTTTTTAAAAAAATACAAGAACTCATTTTTATGACATCCAAGTAGAAAGAAAATCCTTAAGATATATAAAGCACAAACTCTTGAGGAACAGGCTGGTACTCAACTCCATTCCAAAGTGCATGAATACATCTCACATTCACATGCCATCCAGTTTGCCTGCTTGGTACCACGATCCAGAATCTACATCTGTAGGTAATTACTGGTAGAAATACTCAGGCATCTGAACCAGGGCATCAGTTGTGTGCTGTGGTTCTGGTCTCATGTGGTCCCTGACCTGCTGTGTGACCCCATAAAGCCTCTCCACCCTCGGTCTCATTTTCCTTAAGTGCAGGTGGAGTTGGGGTGATGGCTAGGTGGTCTCCAGGCTCCGTGGAAGTAAAGGAAGCAAGTGACTGCCGCCCACACTGGGCACATCTGTACGCATCTGTCAGAGGAACAAACAAGCTCAGAGGCTGCGGCCAGAAGTACAGACACCCTCACCCATGGAGGCGTTCGCAAGAGAACAGCAATAGTGCTTTCTAGAAAATCCCCCTCACCACTGTACTGAACTCCGCATGGCCCAGGAGGCACCTGTGCCCACCTTTGCCTGCAAACTTGAGCGCCTTCTGCTGCACCCACAGCTTGTCTGGTCCCTGAACAAACTCTTGAGTGATTGTAGATTTCCTTAGAGTTCAGTCCCCAAACCCCAGTGCACGGCCGCTCTGGTCCTTCCTTGTTCTAGGTCTCTGGGATGTGAGGGCTCCACCTGAGTCCTGTGCGCCCGAGCAGTCGAGAAGGTGGCCCTTCAGTCTTCCCTCTTTCAGTTACAGTGAGGACTCTCCATGGCAAGGCAGCCTCAAGCTGGGACATCACGCTCATTGGCCTGGGCTGGGCTGGGCCCTGGGGCTGGGGGAGGGAAGGACATCAACCTGTCACCTGCCCTGCAGCGTTTAGTCCCAAACCATTCTCCTTCATCTCTTCCAGGTGGGAAGGCCTGGTGCTCATCATCTTGTACGTGTTTTACATTCTGATCATGAAGTAAGTACCCCCTCCCCTCCAGCGCCATCCTGCGCTCATTTTTGCCCAGAGCAGGGAAAATCCTGTCAGATCTCTGAGTCCTTTGGGGCAGCCCCTGCTGTCTGTGGAAGCCTGCTGGGGGCAGCCAGCAAGGGGGACAGATGATCAGACACTGTTTTGAAGGTGCTGAATACAAGCAGGTAGGGGAGTCGTGCTGAGTAGCCAGTGTATGGAAAATGACACTACTCCTCGGATGAGTCACCAGCAAGGATCTCTGTCCCCCTCTGCTCTAAGCAGCTTTCCCATCCGGCAGGGTAACCACTCTTTTCCTGCTTATTAGCGATCACAGAGAGGGTTGCAGGAATGAGAGGCTATTGATCAGTGAGTATAGAGTTGCCGTTTGGGGTGACAAAAATGTCTTGGAAATATTAGTGATGGTTGTTTGAGTAGCGTGAATGTAATTAATCCTACCAAAGTGTGCACTTAAAACTAGGGAGTAGTTATACTGACAATTTTTGTTATATTTTTTTTTTCACCAAAAACCCCACAAAACTATTCATGGATGGAGTCACATTCTACTTTCCCTTCTCCTTCTCAGGGAGGTAATTAATGGAGAAAGACAGCATTCTGAGGGCCATAAGAATCCTCATAGTTAGGTGTTTTCACGAAACATTTACTGTGTTTTATTAAAGTGGGTGGTAAGCTGTCACACTGCAAGACAATTGTCCCCAAGCAGGCCTCACTCTGAATGCCCATCAGTTAGGAAACTCTCAGGAGATGGTGGTGCTGGCGATGAGCAAGGCAGGAGGGCCACCAAGCAGCCCATGTGAACCAGAGTCCCTGCTGGGGAGAAGGGACAGGCCAGTAATGCCTCCTCTGAGCCTGTCCCTTAAGCTGAGCTGGACTCCTTTGATTAGAAGAGACTCATAACATACCATAAGTTGGATTCAGTCATTTTCTTGGGCAGAAGGTCCTGCTGCCCTCAGGAAGCCCCTAGTAGGGGCTGGGGATTTAGCTCAGCGGCACAGCGCCTGCCTGGCAAGCGCAAGGTCATGAGTTCGATTCCCGGTCCCGGAAAAAAAAAAAAAAAAAAAAAAGGAAGCCCCTAGTAGCTCAATAGGAGCAGTTGTCCCCAGCTTCTCATTGTTCCAGGCTTCCTATTGGGAGACCCCTATTGGGCTCCATTGAGAGCTCCCTGGTTCCCCAGAACCATGCCAATTGCACAGGCTGGGGTGGGGCACAAGCTCCAGTAGACAGATGCCACCTGCCTGGTTGGCGGGGACCGCTCTACCTCCCTGACCCCCTGCCTCACCTGCCCGACAGGTACAATGTGAAGATGCAAGCCTTTTTCACCACCAAACAAAAGAGCATTGCAAATGGCAACCCCGCCAACAGTGAGCTGGAAGATGGTAATGACTTCTATGACAGTAGCTATGATGACCCTTCCGTGCCATTGCTGAGGCAAGGTAAGGCTGAGCAGACAGGAGTGGGGACACTTGTCACGGAAGCCACCTCCTTCCCTCACACACACACACACACACACACACACACGTGTACACACACCCACACACACTCCTACACCGTCATGCTCTTACCTTTGGTCACACTCACCCCAAATGAGGAAGGAGCATCACCGTGTACGGAGCATTCACTGTGGTGTTTGCTTAGCTGTAGGGAGGATGGAGGGAGGAAAGAAAGAAAGACTTTCTACACCAGGAAAGAAAATCACGAGTTCCATCTGGGGGAATTTGCCCAGGGCTGAGAGGCCTTGCCTCTCCTAATGATATCGCCATGGAAACTTCTGGCTGGAGATGGCAGCAGAGTTCTGTCCTCATCCTCCGTCTCCAGGCACGTGGCTCTCCAGCCACCACACCAGAAGGCGAGGAAGGACTGCCAGCTGGTAGATTTTTACAGAAAACCACTCGAGTGATATAGCTCATAGTAGAGCATTTGCCTAACATTCATGAGGCCCTGGGTTCAATCCCCAGCACCACAAAACAATTTTTTAAAAATATAACTTACTCCTCAACCTTATCACTTTGAGTATTTTCCATATAAACTTTAAAACTACAAAACTTCATGTCTTGGCCGACCTGTCTTATAAAATGCCGTTTTATACTGAAGTGTTACTAGTGACCATGGAGCTCACCCCACCAGATCAAGATGCTGGCTGGTTTCCAGGTGGCTTTTCTCAGAGCCTGGGTCACCTGACCATCAACTGCCCTGTGTCCTAAGCTGGTCTAGCTCAGACAGCTCGCTAGAGGACATGCAGCCTGCCCCAGGCATGACTTAGGCTTGGAACACAAGGTGGAGGAGCTGGGAAAACATGCTGTCATGGTGTGCCCCTCTGGGCAGCTACCCTTGGCTTGGACACACCCCCTTTTGGTGTCACGTGATGGGTGGCACCAGGATGGGGTGTCCCAGGAGCAGGGGCCGTGGCTCCTGCCTCACAAGGCTCCATCGGCTCCCTCCTTCTGAGCCCATCAGTTCCCAAGCAGCCCTTGTGACAGGGCCGCTTCTACAGAACGGATCCTGGAGCCTGCAGTATTGCTGGTGTCCTCGCCCTCTGAGACGGAGGCCCCAAGCACCAGGGCTCCCAGGGAAGGAGCCCCCTACTAACACCCTCCTTCAATAACCCTGGCATCTTTGCCACCATCAAGAATGCTGCCCCAGACTCCACCGCACGCTAATCATCTCTGGCAATCTCTATCGGCCTCTGTCTCCTTAACTCTCCTCCTCTTCTAAATTGTAAGTAATCTGCTCTCATCCAAGCAATAACACTTGCATTTAAACAATAAATAGACCCGCCACGAGCCCAGCTCAGCAGCGCACGCCTCACTGGAGGTTAGTGTCCACCTCCACAAATGCATGGGCCTCCTGGCTGTGTCTTCTAACCCACATGCCTCCTGTCTGCTGAGCCTTGCTGCCTGTTTGGTGGCCTGTGTGTGCGTGTGTGTGGTGTGTGGTTTGTGCATCTTTGTGCCATTAACTCCTGCATGGGTTTGCTCTCTGGACTTTCCCTGCTCCATGGGATCTGGAAACCAGTGCAGAGGGACAGCCATGTCTTTCTTCACAGCCCCGTAAAGGGGATGTCACTACCTGCTTCTGTGTGCTGTGTCCATGAGCAATGGTTCCGGGTACCTGGAGGGCAATGTCAAATCCCCCAGGACACCGGCACTCAGCATGTTTGTGGAGGTGGCAAAGAAGAGAGCCAGGGCTGGAAGCTTTGTTCAGCTTCGTGAGGGGAAGGAAAGGGTCAGAGAGCGTGGGGTTCAGACACACAGGGCTCAGCCAGAAGCTCACCCTGCACCCTGGGATAAGCAGGCTCTTCTCCTGGGTCTCTGTTGCCCAGTATAGGGCCTGGAATGTAAATCCTTGGCCTCACTGCTGGCATTAAGAAAATAAAGTTAGAAGCAGCATTGGGAGAGTGAGGCCAAGACAGAGCAAGGGGCTTGCAGGCAATTTAGAGCCAGCGCTAGCCTCTGCTTTCTAGCACTTTCTGCTCCTGGGGACCCTTGTTGGTTTGTAAAGTTTGTAAAGGTCCCACCACAGGCATGAAAGGTGCTCTCTGAACAGCAGGTGTGCTATTCTGTGAGGCTTAGGTGAGGAGTAGAAAGACCCTGGCCAACAGCAAGCCTGGCCCAGAAAAGAAGGAGATGGGCACCAATTGATGGAGAAGTCACACGTCACTCGCCTGCCAATCAATGACTGGCCCTGTAGCAGGGGATGCTCTGGGCTCTGTCTGACGTGTGGCGCTGTTGTAGGGATTCCGGAACCAGTGATCCACTTTGAAAATGGGAGGAGCTGAAGCCAGGCCTCCAGACCTTCAGGTGGCCACCAGCCACGGGTCCCCAACCCTAGATGTTTACAAGGCGAGGGGAAGCCAGTGGTCCCAGCCCTCAGGTGCTATCCTCCGAGAGCTCAGCACTAATCATGGCGTTGTGCTCCATAGTGAAGGAGAAGCCACAATACGGCAAAAACCCCGTGGTGATGGTGGATGAGATCATGAGCTCCAGCCCTCCCAAGTTCAGCTTCCCAGAGGCTGGTTTACGCATCATGATCACCAATAAGTTTGGGCCCAGGACTCGACTACGGATGGCCAGCAGGATCATAATTAACGAGGTGAGTACCGAGCACAGAAGAGTGAGCAGCTGGGGATGGTCCTGGCTTGTTAGGACTCTTTCTCCGGTCATTCTCCCCATACCTGCTTCAGTCTTCTAACCCCGGAATGTTATAGGGAAGTGGGCAAGGCTGGAATCATTTCCTGGCATGCAGGGCAGAGGGCATAAAAGGAAGTGACGCCTGGTCCTCCTGCAAAGCCACCAAGATGAGTCACCAAGGGGTCCAGAAATTCTCCCACCCAAATCTGAGCCTGGACTGCAAAAAGGAGATTGCACGGATTATCAGGGGTTGGTCTCATCCCAGCTCCTGCCCCTTCTTTCTCTGTCATTGTCCCTCCTAGTGTCCAGGCCTCCTGCGTATACTGCTTGTTACTGCCCCTTCCACGTGGTAGCAGACAGCAGTTGCCACCCTGATTCTCTCCTTGAGTATGGCCTTTCTTGGCACTGTCCGCCATTCTCCCTGGGCGCAACAAACTTTCCATCCTTCCCACCTAGTTTCTCTCAACATGTGGCTCTGTCATGTGGTACCCTAATTTATACCTCTTTTAATATAAGAGGTATAAGCTAAGATATCGATAGCTATCTTTGGATATTTTTCCAGGTACAGTCTTCTGTTGATTCCTACTAAGCTAGAGCCTTGAGCCTCCCCCATCACCACCATTCACATTGCTCTCCTCCCTTAATTCTGTCATGGCCCAGCTAATTGGACTCCAAGATGATCATTCATTTAAACCTGCTTAAATAGCAAAATACTACCCCTGCATGTCTGGGTCTGGGTCTCGGGCGTAGGTTTCTTTGCTCTATGGTGGACTAAGCATTGCAGACTCTGTAGAAAACAACTTAAAAATTTCCATGCCACCTTACACTTTGTGATTAGTGGGTCCCTGCCCAAAGCCGACATGCTCATGGTCAATGCCTCTTTCTTCTATAGCAATAACAGGATTCTCCTTTCAGTGGTTCTGCCTTTCCTCCCCTGACCACAGGGACAATTGCTGGACACACAGAGGGTGTTACTGCCTTGGGGCTTGTCTGCTGCTCTTTAATGTCTTGCAGAAGTAATGACAGGATTTATGTGTCCACTGGGTGATGATCATTGCCACAAGGCCTCAAATTGATCCATAAATATCCTCCTGGAAACCAGATAAAGATGAACTGAGTGGAGGTCAGCAGGTTCACCTGAACACAGAGGCCTGCTGATTTACTGGAATGAGGCCACAATTCCGATACTGCTCCACACCCACCAAAGTGGCTAAAATTAAAAGGCTGACAATAGCAAGTGTTGACAAGGATGGGAAATGATAGAGCAGGTGGTTCTAGAAACCTGTGAGAATGAGAGGCGCATGAGGAACAGGGTGACTGTGTGACACTGTCTCAGCGGCCTTGGTGTGTGTCTTGCTCCTGTCCACGCAGCGGCAGAGACTGATCAACTCAGCCAACAGTGTGAGCAACAAGCCACTTCAGAACGGGAGACACGAGAACATGGAGAACGGGAACGTTCCTGGGGAAAACCCGGAGGACCCCCAGCAGGATCAGGAGCAGCAGCCGCCACCCCAGCCACCACCCCCAGAGCCAGAGGCAGTGGAGACTGTTTTCCTGTCGCCCTTCTCCATGCCGCGTGAGTGTGTGGGGCTGCTGGGGTGTGGAACCAGGCATCAGTGGGCCCGGAGCTCCCCAGTGTCCTCCCTTCTCACTTGAAGTTGGAGCATGGGCCCAGTGTCACCTGGCTGCCGGCTCCTCATGGACATCATCTCTTCTTCTCCCTCTTATGTCCTCTGCTGTAGTCACATCAGCCTCCTTGCTGCCACTGCCAGACACCAGCAGTGCTCCTGCCTCAGGCCCTTTGTACTGCCCTTTTCAAGGAACGCACTTCCCCCATTATGCATGTGGCCCATTCTCTCACCGTCATGGCTCTTCTTAAATGCCCTGTGGCCTTCCCAGACCACATTATCTAAAATACTTTATAGTCTCCTTATCTTGTGTGTCTTCCCTCACTAAAATGCCAGCTACACAGAGGCAGGCATCCCTGGCACCTGTGCCTGCACACAGTAGGTGCTTAGCAGATATCTGTGGACTAGATGAGCTCAGGACTTCAGGTGGGAGAAGATCTCAGGACCCATGAGGTCCTCTGCAGTCCTAGACAGAAACAAAGACCTTCTCCACATCCCAGGTCTCCAATTGAGTTGGGTCTGACTCTCAGAGGTTCTTTCCTGGTGTCCACCATACTGAAAGGCAACAGAATTCCAAAACTTTCACTCAAAATGTGATGTTTTTCTATCCTTGGGACATAGAGACCAGGGAAGCCCCAAGCATGGCCACAGCAAGGGGGCTGCAGACCCCATCTGAGAAACAACCGAGCCAGTCAGTGGGCGAAGAGGTACCATGTGGAGATCTGCATATGTGTTCTCCAGTTCTGCATCCCCATGGTGTAGACATGGGCCCAATAGGACCACAGCTACCACCTTCCACTGTCACCCTGGTCCCATGCTGCCATGGCCGGGTGTCTGCAAGCAAACCAGGGGAGGGGCTGGCTCCTGCTCTATAAAGTGAGACCACCAGGTAGAATGATGTATTTCAATTTCCTTCCCACCTGGAATGTGGCAGGACTGTGTGAAGAGACCTCCAGGCCAACCACCCCTCCCCAAGTCCTTGTCGTGGGATCTGGTTCTCCTCAGAGACGGGCGGTAGGGTCCCCAGGCAGGTCACCTTTCAGAATGGGGGACTTAGAATGCAACTGTCTTGCAAGGGTGGGGACCTGATGGCTCTGGCCTTCCTACTCTCATGCTCTCTGCTCCAGGGAACCCTCCTCTGAGGCTGCCCTTCCTGCTGTGGTTGGCCAGTCATCCTCCCCAGGCTCAGCCTCTGGGTTGGTCCCCTGGGCCCTGTCCTGTTTAAGCCAGGTGCAGTGAGCTTCCTTCCTGTCCTCAGGAACAGGCCTGGGTTCCAGTGTCCCAGGGACAGCTCCCTTTGTCCTGCAGATGTATTTCTAGGGTTGCCCTTGGAAACCACAAGTTGCTTCCTTCTCTTCCCTAGTTCCATGGGCAGAGCAGGGAGTGGGAACGACTTGGGCATCTGCTGTTTTCAGGGTGTGCAGCAGCCAGGAGAAATCGAAGCAGCCTAGGCAGAGGTTCACAGGAAGTTAGAGCAAGCCAGTGAGACCTCAGGCCCAGAGAAAGTCCCTATACCCAGCCCAGCCCTTCTCCACCTGCTTTTTCGGCTCATCTCTGGTTCTGGATTCACGATGGCAGGGGGATGCAGGGTGGCTCTGAGTGTGCTCCATGAGGGTGATGGTGTCCTGGGCTCCTAGGACAGATCATAGCAGCAGGGAAGGAGTGCCAGGGACCACAGCCAAGGAGGAAGCCATCCCAGGGGCAGCCGGAAGCCCACTGAGCATCAAGGGGTCAAGGAGTGAAGCTGAGCTTTTCTGTGTTGCCAGGAGAAGCCACTGATTCTGGATGAGAAGTCCTGGATCGAAATCTCAGTTCTGCCGTTCCCCAGCACTGTGCCCCTAGGCCAGCAGCTTTGCCTCCCTGAACCTTCATTTCTTAACTACAAAACAGGGGTGATGGCAAATACCTTCTGCAGTCGCTCTGAGGGTTCAATCCAATAACCTGGTCAAGGTCCCCTGACACATAGAGGGTGCTCAGTAAATGTTCATTTGGACCCAAGTGCCCCTTGGCCACACGGCTTCTTTGGCCCTCCCCTGTTTGGACCATCAGCAGTGTCCTAGAAAGGTCCCAGGTGCCAGAATCTCTGGGAGCCTGGGGTTGTTCCAGGGGCTAAGGAGAGGAAATTAGCATGTGCTGAGCATCTGTTCTATGCCAGGCACTGGGTGCCAGGCACTTTGCAAGCACAGTATCTCTCGTCAGTAAATATCCAGGTGTCAGACTCTGTTCTGGGCTTCAGGGGCCTACAGGAGCAGGGTAGGCGGTGGTCAGCACCCAGCGGCTCCTGGCTGGCAGCCACCTGGTCTGATGCTGGACTGCTCTTCCTACTTGGGATTCCAGAAGGTGGGAATCAGGCTCCCCAGGGAAAAGGAGGAGCTTTGTCTCCCATGAAGCCATGGACCGCACCCCCGACTCTGTCCCTGGGCCCAGTGTGGGAAAACCCCTGTTATTTGTGGCTGGCTTATGGTCTGGGATGTCCTGTGAGTCCACAGAGCCCTTGCCCTGGCCCCTCCGTACAACCTTTCTCTCCTGCTCTTAGGAAAAAGAAATAACACTAGGCTCACCAGGATGCTGGTCTTCCTCTCCCCTATTGTTACAGCAGCCAGTGTCCACTGCCATGTCCCAGGCACAGGTCAAAAAAGACTGTTCTGATGGAGCTGTGTGTGTCAGCCCCATGGGGCTGTGTCATCACAGAGTAGTCTAGGCAGGTGCTTTCGCAACAGAATTTATTTTCTTCTGCTTGTGGAGGCTGGAAGTCTGAAATCAGGTACCTACATGGTCGGGTTCTCCTGAGGGCCTCTTCCTGGCTGTCCTCCTATGGCATTTCCTCCTTGTTGCACCTGGAGACAGAGGCAGCAAGCTCTCTCTTCCTTCTCTCCTTGTAAGGATTAGGATCTCACTCTTATAACCCCTTTGAACCTTAAGTACCTCCTAAAAACCCCATCCCCAAATACAGTCACATTAGGGATTAGGGCTTCAACATACACACTAGGGTAGCAGGGTCATGATTCAGGATCTCTGAGGGCCTCTGGATGTCGGGTCCTGTTTGAAGAGTTTCACACGTGTTCTCTCACTTAAGCCTCAAAATAACATGAGGTGGGATGACGATTGTCTCCATTTCACAAAAGAAGGAAGCGTAGAGCTATTAGGTGACTTGCCCAAGGTCACCCAGTGACTCACTGGAAAGGAACTTCCACCTGAGCAGCTCGTGCTCGCTCTCGTGCTGCCTCTGCATGCTTTTCACCTCCACTTAATCCTCACAGCCTCTTTGTGGGGCAACAGTGCCATCACCCTCACTTTACGGAGAGGAAAACTGAGGCTTGGAGAGACTATGGGACTTCCCGAGTCATACAACATCACAGGGAAGCCAGTCTTCACCCTGTGCTTCCTGGACTGTGGCTGCCATCAAGGGCCGGTCCAGCAGGGAGCAGAGTCCCAGACCACAGGCCCCAGGACTGTCGTATAGTGGGCAGGTGGCTTTTGAGATGTTCCTTCCCCTGAGATGCAGTTCAGCTGGTTTCACTGAAGTTGCCCAGAATGCAGGAAGCCCTGGGCTCCATCCCAGGTATGGTAAAAAAGAGAAACTGCAAAGTCTACAACTCAGTGGCTTTTCTTGTGTTCGCAGCGTTCTGCAGCTATCACCACAATCAATTTTAGGACATTTTTATTCCCTTTAAAAACCCCATAACCATTAGCAGTTCCTCCCTTTCCTTCTCTGCTCCTTCCATAGGCCCGGGCAACTACTCATCTACTTCCTGTCTCTTGGGATTTATCTATTCTGAGTATTTCATATAAATGAAATCATGCAAGATGTGTCCTTCTGTGGCTCCTACTGTCATTTAGTGTGATGCTTTCAGGGATTATCTGTGTTGCAGTAGCTATTGATACTTTTTTAAATAGCCCAATACTATCCCATTAGGTAAATAACACTACAAATTCGACCCATTTGTTGGATGATTGGAAATTTGGGTTGTTTCCACTTTGTGGCTTTTGAAAGAGCTAATAGAACATCGTGTAGAGGGAGGCTCAGAATGTTTTATCTCAGTGAAAGCAAGATTTTGCCAAGTTCTCTGTGGTTAGCAGTTTCTGAATACCAGACTTAAAAGGGATCTTGGGGATTTTTAAGCTAAGCCTCCTTATATGCCGGGGTGGGAAACTGAAAATGGGAGAAGCCCAGTAGCTTGCCTAAAGTGCATTCCCAAGCAGACAGACACAGGCCATCTGTCCCGGAAACCTGCTCCACGAGGCCCCTCTGCCAGGCCAGGACAGCACCTGCTGGGCCCATGCAGGACCACATGTGCCGGGGACCCTGAGGTCTCTCGGATGACAGTGACAGAAGCCACATAGCTCCCTTAGACTAAAAGGAGGACTTAAAAATAAGCTTCAGGGTGTGTAGGCTGTGGGAGCAAACCCAACATCCCACAACCCTGCTCGGTAGCGCAGTCCAAACCACAGGAAGGCGGCCCCACGTCACCTTGGTTCTGCTTTTCAAATGGAAGAACCTGCTTTGAATCCAAACATTTGAATCTGGGAAACTTTGCCTTTAGCTTTCCTCGCAGTCCCTGCAGGCCCCGTAGGAGGTTGCAGTGAGGTTGCTGGGGCCAGCTTAGCATAGGAGCTTCTGTGGAGTTGCAGTGAAGTTGAGAGAAAGCAGTAAAGCCTCTTAGTGGATCGCGGAGACCAGACCCAAGGACCGAGTAGGGGCCCAGGTAGCACCTTGAACCTCTTCGTGATGCCTCTTCGTGACCCCTGGAAGGACAGGACACCCGCAGCTGCACAGAAGCTGCTTTCCCTGTCCCCTGCTCCATCTGCAGCATCGCCTGAGCATCTTCTGTCAGTGCTTTAGGTCTGCAGACAGCCCTGCCGGTGTGAGGGCGGTCCCCTTTCCAGGATGAGTCCTTCCTGAGCAGGGCTCAGGAAGCCCCACATCAGTGAGTAGGCCCACAGTCAG